AACTCTTGAGCAGATGCAGCCAGAATGGAAAGAAGTGAGTCCTCAGGCATCTTCTGTGTCCGCGCAGGCATCCGCCGGCAGTGCTCTAGAAAGCTCACGGGCAAGGTGTAGCAGGCAGTCATAAGCTTAGTGATGCTCTACGGAAGCGAATGCTGTCCCATATAAAGGAACATGAAAGACAGTGCACACTCAACTAAAATGAGGATGTTGAGATGGTCCTGCCCCTGGACACGAGAAGCTGTGTCAAAGCGAGGACGTTAGGGCGGTCATACATACAGCTTCGGTTCAGCTGAGGGCACGGGAGCAGCGACTGCGACAGTATGGCGGAGAAGGACTAAGGCTCACCCGATAAGGTAAGCGTTGGACATTGAACTACATGTCAAGCGATCATGAACAGCCTCAGAGAAAAGGTGGAGGGACGCTAACAAAGTACCTCACTGACTGAGATGCGTAGGATCAAAACAGGTGGCACCATCCCACAAGAGCAACGGATCCTGTGACGGCGCGGGAGTAACGCTAGGACGGAGAAGGGACAGATGGTAACAACACACCTTAGACGGGTTCATTCCTCAGCGCCACGGCGTGCCCTGGTTGATTCTGATAATGCATCAGGTGAACCGTAACCCCAAAGCGCTTGTGAAAGCACTTGTGACACTAAGTCAAAAACAGTTTGTACACTCACCTCCATAGGTCCTAGTTCTTACCGAATAGGTATGCATTACTTGACAGCCATGTCGGTACGCGCTTCTTGTCTGCGCCGTCTCATTTCTGGTTGTTCTCTACCGCTCAGTGCGTGCTTCGTTGCAGGAAGTTGGTATTGATGCAAGTGTTGCACTTTGAGGAGCGGAGTACGCTGGCGGAGTACGGAGATAGCACTCGGGTACCACTACGAGCCCCGTTCCCGTGTTTTGGGCGGAGAATGTGGCAGGCTACCGCAGCTGCGGACCTATTCGCTTCGCCGATGGGAAGGACCGTCCATGTAAGGGTGCAGTTCGTCTTTAATAGGGATACTGCAAACATATCAATTGTGTGGCTAAACAGCTGCTGAGCTTCGAAAAACTTAATATCATTGAACTGAAAGCGATTCAGGTGGTGAAGTCTGCTCCTCCTCGCTGTGCCACTGGATCTGCTCGCTTTGCGAGTTGCCAAACGCAAACGCACGAACGCAGGTGACAGGCCTCCGTGACGGGCCGGCCTACGAACACCCATGTCACATCAATATGTTTGTCATGCCATATGTATATCGAGATAATGCTACGGCGTCCGCGGGAGCCGACGGCACTCGTATGGCCGTGTGGAAAGTATGGAGGGTTCTCGTTGCAAGGACGGCATCGGGAGGCAACCAGGCTAGTCCAAAATCGTGGCAGAGCAGCTTGTAAAGTCGCAACGTTAATCGTTGGGACCTTGACCGGACGTTCATGTGAATTAGCAGAGGCACTGGAGCGCAGACGAATCGATCTCTGTGCAGTGCAGGAAACAAGATGGTCCAGTTGCAAGTCGAGAGACCTTGGTCGGGGCTTCAAAGCCTTTCTTTGCGGCAAGCCAAGGACCACCAACGGTGTGGCCGTAATCGTCTCACGACCTTTCCTTAACTCGATAGCTAGCGTGGAACGTTTCGACGACCGATTGATGAAGATTGTTCTTGCTGTCGAGCAGCGACTGTACCACTTCTTTTCTGCATATCCTCCGCAAACGGGATGCGCTGAACAATCAAAGGACGAGTTTTGGACTCTGCTTGAGGAGAAGACAGCTGAGGTACCGTCAGAGGACGTCGTAATTGTCGCTGGTGACCTTAACGGGCCCGTGGGCGCAACGAAAGACGGTTACAGCTGTCATGGTAGTTTCGGTTATGGGACACGTAACGCCGATGGCGAACGCATCTTGGAATATGCAGAAGCCCATAATCTCGCCATCGTAATCACAAAGTTCCGTAAACGTGACTCCCACCTGATAACCTTCTACAGCGGAAGCGCCAGCACACAAATAGACTTTGTTCTTGTCAGGCATCGCGACCAAGGACTTGTCACAGACGCGAAAACCGTGCCGTATGAAACAGTAGCCTCGCAACATCGCCCGCTTATCTGCACGCTAAAGTTAACACCGCCCAGGTCAAAACAGATGGAGCGATGTGGTCCCGAGAGGATTAAATGGTGGCATCTGAAAGAAAAGGAGGCAGCTGTGATCTCTCGCATTCAATTACCAACTGTCACAACTGTCGACGCAACGTGGAACAATGCTGCCAAAGCGATTGTCCAAGCCGCTCGCTCTGAAGTTGGAACAACGAACCTGAAGGCGTAGAATTGAAAAGCAGGCATGGTTGTGGACAGATAACGTCAGGGACAAGGTTCACGAGAAGAAGAAGCGCTACCACTTTTTCCTTGAAGACAAGTCAGCAGGCAACTGGCAAAAATGCCAGGAAGCGAAAAAAGCGGCAAGGGGAGCTGTGGGTGCTGCAAAAGCTTCCCACTTCGATGAAATCAGCAAGAAGCTGAAAACAGATGATGCGAGCGGCACATTGACCGACTTGCTAAAGCTCGTCACCGCCAGGCCGAAGACGTGGAGAAGTTCTTTGGCATCAATGATGAGAAGGGTCGCCTCCTGATGGTCCGAACAAAGGTGCTGAGGCGATGGCGCGACTACTTTAGAGAAATTTCCACAGTGGAATATGAACACCCGGCCATCCTTCGCGCCTTACCAACATACGGCCCCGTTCGAAAGATAAGTGTGGACGAGGCGACTCTCAAGAAAGTGAAGGCAGGCATGGCAGCGGGCCCTGACGACGTGGCGGCCGAAGTATGGAAGTCACACTGCTGGCATGCTGCGAGGCTTGACACGTTTTTCAATCAGGTCGTTGCAGAGAAGAAAATGCCTGAAGTATGGCAAGAGAGCACGACGGTACCGATCTGGAAGAAAAAAGGCAGTCCTGCAGACTGCTCGAATTATCGTCCAATTCGCTTGCTCTCGCACAGTATGAAAATATTTGAGCGAATTGTTGATAAACGTCTTCGTGATATCGTCCAGCTCTCCACCAAGCAGTGTGGCTTTGTTAGTGGCTGTAGCACCATCGACGCCATACATGCCGCTCGTCTCTTGCTAGAGAAACATCGTGAGAAGAAGAAGCATGTTCACCTAGCCTTCCTTGATCTGGAGAAGGCATTCGACCGTGTCCCACATGAAGTTATATGGTATGCCTTACGGCAGCACGGCGTTCCCGAAGAGCTGATTGAGTGGGTACGCATCCTGTACTCCAACCCGACGAGTCGAGTGCGAAGTCCAGCAGGCATTTCGATGGGGTTCCCCATCACCGTTGGGGTGCACCAGGGCTCAGCGCTTTCCCCGCTACTCTTCGTTGTTGTCATGAACGTCATTTCACGGGACCTCCAGAAGCCGGCTCCCTGGACGCTTCTCTACGCTGAAGATGTGATGCTGGCCTGCGAGGATAAGAATGGTCTCGAAGAACAAGTGCAAGCTTGGACTGAACGGTTATCAAACTTCGGACTTAGATTGAACGACAAGAAAACAGAGTACCTGGCAACTGACCCGGACGAGTCTGGATCCCTTAGGGTCAGCGGAAGTGTGCTCAGGCGAACGACAGCGTTCAAATACCTCGGATCAACAATTACGTCTGACGGTAGTCTCTACTCAGAAGTGAGCGCGCATGTGAGTGCTGCCTGGTCTAAGTGGCGGTCTATGACTGGCGTTCTCTGCGACAAGACAATACCAGATCGCCTCAAATCGAAGGTATACAGGAACAGTGCCAAGATTTGAAGCACCCCCTTTCTAGTAAACACTTCACTTTTACCCAGGCCCTTTATTGAAAAAATTCCTTGTGATTTTGTTGTGACAAGTTTTGGAAGACGCGGAAAACATCTCCGGCGCAGAACCATTTCCAGTTTGTCTGGAGACTTGTGTAAGGTTCTAAAACAAATTTTTTCGTCATTGTTATTAGGAACTAGTCCATTCGGCGATGAAGGACGTCCCTTCTGTATTACGCCATGCATTCGATTCCAGCGCAAGGGTATTGGAAAGGTATAGCTCCCAGGTAAAGCTTCATCATGCAAGCAGATGACTCCTACGATTCATAAAGGTCTGAGCGTATACTGTGTTTTGTTCGTTTATTAATTCATGACGTTACGGGCGCTCATCGTACTTCCTCCTACTGTTCCCCTCCCCCCTTCTGAACTTGCAACTTGCCTCTTTCTTCAGGTGTCCCTCCTTCACAGCAACTATGATTAAATGAGTTTTTCGGTCAGTGATTGTGCGACACCTCAGTATTAGTATTCTGAATAAGCCCTTTGCTTACGACCCCCCCCCTGTTGTGGTTTCTACAACGACGTGCCCGGACTACGGGTTACGTACTGAACGAAAATTTCCTCGTGGACCTCATTTGTTGGATCCCTTTATATTAGCTTTTATTTGTTGTTATCATTTGGTGTTTCCCGACCGCCTCACTCAATTTCAGCAATTTCAGGCGGCATGGTTAATATGTGCAGGCGTACGTGAGGCTGCGTTTGGCAACATCAAGTCAATCATGGAATGCCTTTCGAACTCATCAGTACTGCGAAGAGATCCTCAAACAGCTGCGCTATAGAGAAGAAAGACAGGCTTGAGCGTGTGGCTAGGTCATACCGCTGGTTGCTTTCCTTCGTTTCAATTACGTTGAAAAGATAAAAACTTAGATTATCGCGTGTCAGGCTTTCTCATCTTTGGATAGTTGCTCTTCTTTTCTTCTCTAATGAATATCAACATCAGGGCGCTTCTAACTCATAAAGCATTTATTTTCTGTTGCAGTAGATTTTGGTCAACATTCCACTAGTCAGTAGCAATCTAGAAATGAGCTCCAAAGTTGGCGCAGGTACCGAGGAGAATGACGAGAGTATTGATAGTGGTAAACAATAAAGTCTGCAAACGTATGCTTATCAAAGCCGCCATGGTGCAGTTGGTCTAACCGAGTACAGGAAGCGATTATTCCTGAAAGAAGGATGTGATGTATCGAATATTCAATGGTGGTAAGGTGACTCGCCCATCATAATATCGTCAAGATGCACAAATGGTGTTTTACAAATATTCTCGATCAGCAGTCGTGCTGCATTTCGTGATAAGATGAAAGATGATCCCTGAAAGTAGTGGTAATCTGTCGTTGAACGGAACCTAACAATCCTCATGTAAATTTTCTGTAACTTTTTAAGTGTGGCGAGAACAGCGTACAGCTGAGGAATAATGTTTTGAATAATTGGTTATTCATTCTCACCTGAATGAAACGAGGATAGCACAGGTTGGTATACATATTGCCAGGAACGTGCCAGGGCAACCAAGACATGAAAAGTCGTGGATATCCCCTAGAGACCTTACCCAACATCCACGAACCTGTTCTTTCATTAAGAAAAAGCTGCAAATTAAGTGTTGTCACATTTTTCTTCTTTCCAAAACTCTTGACTACCACAGTAAAAGTGGGTTACAATGATACCTCTGCTAGAGCAGTAGCGTTGACTATTGTATCGTCATTCAAGACAATAATGTCACGAACTGAAGGCAATTCGTCCAGGACGAATTGATAAATCGCCATCATTTTCATTGACAAGTTGTGATATGAGTCGGCGAAGTCGAATTGTAGAATGTCTGTGAGTAAGAGCTTTATTTCCTGTACACTCCGTAATTGCATTCGAGATCCCTGAGATCGGGTAGGCGTGGCCATGTTTCAACTTATCCTTAAGGCGTTTACGCTTCTGATGCGATATTTTCACCCCGACACAATCGTTGTCGTGTCTCTGTCCAACACAGAACAAGATGACAGTTGTCCCAGACTATAATATTCCACTAGTAACCAGTTCTTTACAGTGTTCGAATGCTCCGCCTACCCGATCTCAGGGATTTCGAGTATACTGTTATGTAACAGTTACCTTCGAACTGACTGGCCTCCAACGTAACGTCATCGCTGTGGGTTGCACACACGAACACAACAGGTGCTAGCTGATTTACCTGTCTTTCGAAAGCATTCAATGAGGTATGTGCCTATCGTGCACGCGGAAGTAAATGTAAAAGTAAAAATTGCGAATGAGTCAAAGGGAATCTTTAAAGAAAGTAGAGTTGTTCGTTTCGCCTCTACTCAGACGAACCACTTTGTTCCATCCATCCCATGAGGCTCCTCAGTGAGGTGGGATGGACGGAATGAGAGTATGTTGTAAGGAATGGATCCACTATGGTGGGGAATAAAAGGAAGCCAGGGTCACGAATAGTAAAGAATAATTAAAAGGAGAGTGAATACATCAAATTGGGTAAGTGCAAGAAATCATGGTTTTTTAAGGACAATCAAGTACAATATGATAGTCAGTGAAGTGAGTAGCTGTCAAAATGGAGCGCGACAAGCGAAGGAATGTGCACATGAGAAGATTGAAAGGCAAGAACAAAAAATAGAAATGTACAGGAAGTATAATTATGTGGTGGTAACCTATTTGATATAAGAAAAATTACCCTTGTGTATTAGTAAAGCTGCAACTCCATGAAAAGGAGCAGCTGACTGCAACTAAGCTGAAAAGTTGTAGAAATCTGAATACGGTGGCATTCGATGAAGGAATCCATCATTGAAAGGGGTTCTAGGTCAGTTATAGAGATTCGAAGCTGATTTCCCCTCCTTTTATGTTTTTGTTGTCTGGAGTGCAACAATGAAAACATTCCTCTATTCCTTCTTCAGGGACGATAGTAAATTGCCTTTAAATGGCACTTAACAGCTCATGTTTGGGGATCTCGAGATCATCCGTTCTTCAGAAGTGTCGAAAAACGGTTCCAAACCACCTGGTAAACATATTTACGAAAACCCTCAGAGAGAAGGTCGAGAACGTCTCCCTCTTCTGCCTTATCATTCCGACAATCGTGCCACTTTAGTGTGATTACCTCTTCAGTCGCACTCAACTTTCCACAATGCCACGAATTTGCCGCGATTCTGCCACGAAGCACCGGAAGTGACGAGCGTGTGGTATTCTGGACAACATGTTTGAGTAGGCTGGGTGGCGGATTTAGCTGGAGCGGTGTACGGTAAGATAACGTAAAATAGTGCAGAGATCAGATCACCTAGCATCTCCTGAGGTCTGCCTGCGGCATGACTCAGTTAATTGCTGCGCTAATTACTCTCACTGAGTCCCCAACGAGACGAGTCCATCGAATGATATTCACCTAGTAGTAGGAACTGATACGTAAAGATTAGTAATTCTCAAGTCTATGAACATTAGAGAAAGGATCAATGTTTACATTGTAAAAAAATGCTGTCAAGTCATCTTCAGAAATTTGAGTTGTTAGCTGCACCCCACATCTGACGACTTTCCAAAGACAAATTGGAATTCACAGCGAAACAACTTCAATATGTTTCTCAACATTTCAAAAATTATATAGTTTTACTGCTTACGTATCTAGCCATTTTTCAGCAAAAGCCTTCTACTCGATCCTGGGTGGGCCCGTTTTATAGATTTCTTTGCTCTTCTTTCCTGATCTTTTTCGCAGCACCCTGACGAGGACTGAGGAGGGTTGGGTGAAAGAAATGGAGCAGCTGTGGAGGGGTGTGAGAGTTTTTGAGAAAGGATGGGTGTAGCGATTGCATGCATAGACCCAGGAATCGCCGATGAATGAAAGAGTCTTGACGGGGCCTGTTGTAGTAGTAACTTGGAAGCATGCTCGAGTAGCGACAAACACTTATGAGATGTGTTGATGTTGTAACCATACTGCTACGTAAATATCTATCAGATGACCTTGAAATTGATATCACTACTATATATAGAAACGGCAACGTCTGTTTGTCTGTCTGTTTGTCTGTCTGTCTGTCCGGAAATTCGGAATCACCTGAAAGAGCCAGTTGGAGGGGCGGGTCAAGAGCGGGTTGGGTAGGGCATGGGCCAAGATTGTATGGAACACGCATGAACTAAGATAAGCCCCGCCCACTGTGGGGCGAGGACGCACATTAGTTGAGCTACGTTTTTCAAAAAATCTAGTTCGTTCCGAAGGACCCCGAGAGCGGAAAAAGTGGCAAACGATAGGCAATCAGTTGGCGGATGAAATTAGCGAGGCACGAATTTCGGGCGGGGGTTCTACAGATGGGCGGTGCTTGGTACAAAAATTTCAAAAATTCGTAGTTCGGTTCTAGAAGAACTCAGAAAGTGGGAGAAGTGGCAAACGATAGGCAATCAGTTGGCGGATGAAATTAGCGAGGCAAACCCATTCTGGGCGAGGCGTTCTACAGGTGGGCCGTGCTTTGTACAAAAATTTCAAAATTCGTAGTTCGGTTCTAAAGAAGCTCAGAGAGTGGGAGAAGTGGCAAACGATAGGAATCAGTTGGCGGATGAAATTAGCCGAGGCAAACCCATTCTGGGCGGGGGTTCTACAGATGGGCGGTGCTTGGTACAAAAAATTTCAAACAGTTCGGTTCTAAAAGAGCTCAGAAAGTGGGAGAAGTGGCAAACGATAGGCAATCAGTTGGCGGATGAAATTAGCGAGCAAACCCATTCTGGGCGGGGGTTCTAGCAGATGGGCGGTGCTTGGTAACAAAAATTCAAACAGTTCGGTTCTAAAGAGCTCAGAAAGTGGGAGAAGTGGCAAACGATAGGCAATTCAGTTGCGGATGAATAGATGAAGCACAGCCCTGATGGGCGGGGCGTTCGCCGAACTGAACGTGCCGCGGACAAAATCCCTCGAAAAGCACCGCGAAACCCACGAAATGGGAGAAAGTGAAACTCAGCAATGGTTTTCAGATGAATTTAGTGAGGCGATAACCGTAGGGGGTATACCAAATGGTTGGTACCGTCGCAATAGGCTATTCTTCGATTCTTCATCATGCAGGCCAGTGCAGCATAGACAATTTTGATGACTGTTTTCTAGGGGGGGGTAATATACAAGAATTCAAACGGAAATGTGCGGTAATTCTCCAAACAATATTTTTTCGGACCATTCGCCTGGCGAAGCCTTCCGATCCGACTGGCCCTCCCTCTCATAGAAAACTTCTCACCGGGACCCACTTCACACGCGAAGGAGGATCGGCCGGCGAAGCCTGCCGATCGACTGGCCCTCCCTCTCATAGAAAACTTCTCACCGGGACCACTTCACACGCGGAAGGAGGATCGGCGGCGAAGCCGCCGATCCGACTGTGAGCAGATAGGCCAACAGGGAGAAGCTGCAAGAAGGACAGATTGTGAAAGTTTATTCTATCATAATTGCTTTGCGTTTGGAATGTCGTAAGATGTGTGAGTACATCTAACATTCTGCAAATTTTGGGAGGGTTTTTTCAACGTAAACGTTTATCCCTAAATACTTGTGGAATTAAAAATCACTAAATTTCACGCAGCCGTTCCACTACTAGATGAATTGTTTACCCTCTAGTGCCCCACTGTTTCGGAAGCAGGCCCTTTTCACTACTTTTTTTCTCTCGTGGACCACAGTTGACTGAAAGTTTGTCCTTAGAGTTAGTTTCTCCTGGACACGACTAGCACAGGGGTAGACAAGACAGTACTTTTGGTTGCTCACAAAAGTGGTTTCTCACTTTGCTAAGGGCACAACCTTTGCAGAGGAAGAGATGAGACTCGAAGAAAAGTGCAGACAAGCGCGGTTTACTGCAGCTGTCACATCTTTCTTCCATCCATGATTCTGTTGGCATCCATGCAGTTGCTCGCGTCCAGGAGGTCAGGCTAAGAATAGGAAGCATAGGAAGTCGCGATTGATGGCGACACTGCGCCCGCAAAGGCAACAGTTTTCAAACGGTATCATAAATGTGAGTTATACATCAATGCAAAATTAATCACACCAAAGCAACTTAAATCAAATGGATTTACCAAAACTGCACAACCATCCAAAGCAACTGAATATATCAGATGTCCAGGTGAAAGCGACGCACGAGCGAATGGCTTCGTCCAGCCAGCCACAGTCCGCGAAGTCCATTAAGCAAGCAGAGTCAAAAACGTTGAGTGTAGCTGTTGCACAGACAGGGTAACAGCATTGGATGTGTCAAATGGGGTGTGGGTACGACCCCCCCCCCCTCGGATAGGGTACAGATTCGACCCCCTCCCCCCTCCTGCTCTAACTGACAACGCAGATGTATGTTCACCACAAATGGCTTCCTGAAATGGAATCTGGATTCTCGAAAGGCGCACTCTGCTCTAAAATACAGGAAATAAAAGGCTGTTTCAGCCTCATGCAGCATGAGGCTGAAACAGCCTTTTATTGCAGCCTTTTATTTTTTTTGAAACACTCCTCGCATTACCTACAATTTTGTCTTAGGATTCAAAATAAAACTCCTCGTTCGATAACTATGTATGACATGCAACTTGTAACAAAAACACAATTGAAATAGCGGCTAATGGTGATCATTGATAGGCTGAATTGGTGAAAAAAGTAGCCCCAAGGTGAGCGTGTCAGGGCGCAGATGTGCGTTCAAATGAATGGTGACGGGGATAATGGAAACATGCACGACACAAACAAAGCGAAAGATGGAAAATACAAAAAATGCAGAGCTAAATGAAAAAAGGATAACCAGGCCGGCAGTAAATCGTTCCATACTTGGCTATTATCGATCAGGCTGCAGGGCGCAAGGCTGCGACCGCTTTCTTTGGAAAAACGTCATTGGGGCGCAGTTGTTGGACTTGCCAACGTCCCTGGCTCTGTTCGGGGGTTATATCTTTTTTAGGTGCGGACCTTTTGAGGAATGGTGAGCAGCATGCAACGGCAATTTCTGCTATTGTGTATTCTACCTAGCTGCAAACTTAACAATCCCCCGGTGGTGAAACATTCCGGATGGGTCACGGTTCGGCCAGAGGTAAATCGCGAGCTGGTTTCCATGATTCACATAAGGACTGCTTCGTTCAAATGCAATGTCATCAGGACTGATGTCGTCTTAAAACCCCTCCACCCCTTTTCTCTTTCCAATAAGCTTTACAGTTTTTCTGAAAATGGTACTGACCGTGTACGCACCACAATCCGGTTGCTCCGAGGCGGAAAAGAATGAGTTACCTGTCCCTGGACGAGGC